ATTTTTTTCTGTTTTTCAACAATATGTCAGCGTTGATCCCATGCTAACATGTAGATAGGCTGCCCAAGACCCAGTTGCTGATCCCCTCTTTGTGGCATCTGTGCCAGAATCTGTGGCACCGGTGTCCTTCTGAAGGAAGAAGTGTGTATGGTGTTGACCATCTGCCTCTAGGGCTGTGATGAGGGTTGTTGCACTAATGCATGTGAAGTGCTTGACACCTGGGCATCTGACGGAGGCTTCTGACCCATTTTTAGCATCAATAGGCTGGAGTAATTACTGGAAATATTATATACAACATGTTGTTTGGGTTTCCCAAATGTCAAATTCTGCACTGTGTGTTTTTACTCTTTCCCTCTTTGTTCTAAAGTGCTGACATAAAAAATAATTTATGTTACCTGGGTTGTAGGTTTGATCCCCAGACAGGACACATATGGGAGGCAACTGATTGATGATTCTCTATTAAATTGATGATTCTCTCTCTTTCTCCCTTCCTCTCTCTGGGATCAATGAACATATCCTTGGGTGAGGATTAAAATAATAATAATAATTTATATTATTTCCATACTTGGTGTATAGTTGCTTCTTTCTAAAAAAAACAGGCCCCAGAAGTATACTTAGGACGTGAGTGACAAAAAATAAGAAACCCAAAATAATTTTTTATATGATGATGGTTCTATATGAAAACCTACCAGCAGTTGAGCCTTAACATTAAGTGACCTTCACTTAGTGGAGGGAAATAGTGGTGACACAGGCACAGGACTGCAGGGTGGGTTTGAGGTTTGCTGTGGACTAGGATTATCTTCTGCTGAAAGGGGGAATAATTCCATTAACTGCAGGATCTGACTGTCTGTCTGGACTGCAAGATAAGGAGCCTGCCACCACCAACACGCTGCCCCAACCCTGAAAAATCCCCATTATCACTCTGAAGACTTGCCTGTTCCCTGCCTCCTTTTATTTCCTTGCTGCTTCCTTACTCTTTAGAATTCTGGTCTCCGCTAACTCAACCAGTCTGGTCACTGTGGCCAAGTTAGGACAAATACTACGTAGCCTCCTAATACGCTAAACGTTTCCTCAGCTGAACTGTCTATTTCATTGCTGGGTCGTGGATTCGTGTTTTGCTGCCAGGTCCGTGAGATGAAACAGGACGTGACTGCTTAACCAAGGAAGCCTGAGTCACTCATCACACTTTCCCCATCATTTGTTGTACCCTCCTCTGCCAGTGCTTCTGTCCCCCAGCCTGGGTACTGTATTCTAACACGGATAAGCAGCTCAACTCTTGAGAGAAACCTTACTGTGGTGGCAGTAAATGTTTTGGTCCAGATTGATTACAGTTGAAGTAATTACAAGTAAAATTTAAGTCTACTGGTTTAGCATTATGGACTAATTATTATGTTACATTTCTAGTCTTGAACTGTTTGAATACCAATTAGTTGATTTGGACTGTTTTGAACTAGTAAAGACCATTTTGTAGGTGACCTGAAGTAGTTACAAGCAGTTTGATGAAACTAGAGCAAGCATGACCTGGTTGGAGATAGATTTAATTGGTCACTAATTTGATTCAGCAAAATATACTCTGAATCAATCAAACCTTCTGTGAACTGGTCAAAATCTACTTGTCCAGGTCTAAACTTACTAGAGTGAGCTAAAACCAGCCTGCAGTAATTTAAGCTATTAAAACCAGAGCCAAATAATTTTGGTGGAAGAGATCTGGTTGTAGCCAGAGTGGCTTTAGATCAGTCAGAGATAGTTTTAGGGGTGGAACCTTTTTTAACTCAACTCTTTCACTCTGAACTAGTATGAACCATTCCAATTATTGTGTACCAGTATGAGTTTGTCAAAATGGATTGCTGTGTGTGTTTTTATACAAATTTGAATTTGCTTTTAAGCTGGTCATAACTCTTTTGAAATCAACATATCTCTTTAAAATGAATTGAAACGTGTTTGAACCAGTTAAAATGGAATTAGTTTGCAAGTGATCTTTATTGACTTAGCAAACTACTCTGAGCCAGTCAGCAGTCTTTTGTGCTATAAATATATGTTTAAGTTTCCCAGTGGCAATTTCAGAAATTGTTCTAGGTCTTCAGAGCCAGTGTGATCTGTCCATCATAAGGAGAAAGGAGTGAGCTAACATTACTGAGTACCCAGGATGTGCCAAGCATGGTGCTGGGCTCTCTGCAAAGAGTAGTCTATTTAATCCTTAGAACAATGCTGTGAGGTAGTGTGGATTATCTTTTTCATAAAGTGGAAAGTTGAAATACAAGACAAAGACATATGAGTAGCTGATATGTGCGACACATAGGATTCAACCCATGTTTGACTTCAGAGGTCCTATATTAAGCTTCCCGGTATGATATCATACCTAGTCGCTTTTAAGCCCAACATGCATTTGTAAAAAAATGTGAGTGATGGGCCCAAAGTTTGGGCTAGAACGGACATTGGGCTTGTGGTTAAGGAACCTATGTTCTTGATTGTGCAAATGAGTTAACCTTTCTGGGTTCTGTTTTATCCTTTAGAAGACCCAGAGAATGAAAGGTCTGAGCTTTTATTTTCAGATCAGCAAGGCAGGTCATTGCCTAAAGGCGCAGTCTGGAGAGTGCCAACTATGATTAGTTTTAATGGTGGTAGCTATACCCTCAGTTACAGTGTTTGGTTTGTTAACACTTCCTTTAGGATGGCTTGGTTTGGGAACAAACTCTTATGTACTGCTATCAACATGAATAGGAAATAAAACCCACAAAGATAATTTGTACTCTTACATGTGTGATTCTTCTCCTATGATAACTAAACACGTGAACTTTGGTACAACAGAGATAGTTTCATCTGTTTCTAAATTCCACTCGGGTGGGTTTAGAGAATTGTAGAATAGCGATGCCGTTGGTGACAGCATTTTTCTCTTGTACCTTGAATGATATGAAGACATAATTTTAGAAATGACCTACATTGTTCAAAGGAAATGTAAACAGGAAATAAGGCAGCCACAGTGTCTTCTTGCACCAATGTCATTACAGAATTTGGAGTTACTTTCTGCTTCCTCATTCATTTTGAAGGGAACCCCCAAATGATTAATCATTATCTTGACCTACTTTTTAATTCTTAGCTCTTATTTCTAAATACCTTGGAGCCAAGGGAGATGCTGTGATATGACATACTCAAATAAATTTTTGTACCCAAATGGTCATCTTCTGGGGAAGAATTCTGTTCCATGCCATAACTACTGGCAACCTACACCTGTGACTGCAGAAGCTATAACATAGGAAAGCCATCACTGTAAAGTATCACTCTTTATAGTGTGCAAATAGAATTATGATGTTTGTAGAGGCTCTGCCCTTACCGACTGACCTGCCATATCTGAATGCAAAGTCACCGATCTGCACTCAGGCACCAGATCTGAGGAAGTACATTGCAGTGGCTCTTGAACCTCAGTAATCAGGACTTTTGAGCATAAAGTGAGTCACCAAATTGAGACGGGGTGGGGGAGGCAACCTTCAAAAGTGACAAATGTCTTTGACAGAGGTTTTATTAGTTGAATGGATCTGTGGGAATAATCCTATTGGATGTATTGAGAATTGTGGTGGAGTTGCTGGGTATGGGGCTGGGTGAGACAGGGACAGTGAGAGGAAAACCAGCAGCATCTAATGTAGGGAATCTGACCTGTGTGTGGACTGGTGGATATGTATGTTTGAGCAAGTGGAGTTGTTGTCAGTGGTAATGGGAGAGCTGATTAGTTTTCTCATTTTCAGGAGGATTTATTGGTATTAGAAATGGAAGGATAAAAAGAAGCCTTCCATAGAGACAGATTATATTTTCAGTCAGACTGAAATTTTGAATAGTTTTAATCATTTCAGAGAATACTAAAAAAAAAAATCATGAAAAGTGCTGATTGTAAAGGATAAAAAAAAAAAAGCATGGTTAGGTCTTCCTGGTAAAAAAAATTTTTTCTTCTCTAAAGTGGATGCTCATGTTAGTCACCATTGAAGAGCTTAATTGGTAGCGTTTCTGGTTAGAATGCCAAAGCAAGCATATGTAAATGAGCCTCCACAGGTGTTGGGGAACCGTGGTCTCTGTATGGTGACTGCGTGGGTCTGGAACTGAGTCCCCAAGTGAGCAGTGATAGTCCGGAAGAGTCTGATTTAATATGTACCTAGTAATAGCAACAATGACAACAACAACATAAAGCAAGCTGCAGGCCAAATTTTACTTGTTTTTTTTTTTTTTTTTAAGATTTTATCTATTTATCTTTAGAGGGGAAGGGAAGGAGAGAGGGAGAGAAATATCAATGTATGGTTGCCACTCTTGCATCCCTTGCCGCGAACTGGCCTGCAACCCAGGCATGTGCCCTGACTGGGAATCGAACCACGGTTGTTTGGTTTGCAGGCCCGCACTCAACCTACTGAGCTACACCAACCAGGGTCAGATTTTACATGTTAATTCAGTGTTATCTTTGAAGGAATTACAATGATACTTGAAAATAAATATGAATTATTTCATTTAAATTCATAAATGAAATTGCCTAGAAGTCCAAGTGAACAGAGAGAAAAGCCAAGGATCCAGCATTAGGAGACTTTGAAAAAGAAGTGGGGGAGGTGAGGAATTGGAACCATTTGTGCTCCAAGAATTAGTATGATTCCTGTAACAGTCTCCTTTCACTTTCGTTTCTTCATTAATTTTTTTTCTATATGATCTGCTTATAAGATGTAATGACATTACCTTCTTGATTGTCATTGTTGTTTTGATTTTTGTCTTAACAGTACTATAATATGTATGTTAAATTTGAACTATACTGTTAGTTATTTATCATTTCAGTAGCATCTCTTCTAGCAAATCGTTAGGACCTTGGAGGCAGGGAATAATATCTACTCTTCCCCTTAGAGAACCCTCAGGCAATAGATGTTACATAGAAGTACTTGACCTGGATATTAAAATGTGACTTTATCCATGGAGGATTCTAATATTTTCTACTGGCTTTTTAGTTAATATGCATTTATTTGTTTTTTTCCTAGGTGAACCACTGAGTTCTTCATTATGTCTGATGGAGACTATGATTACCTCATCAAATTTTTAGCTTTGGGAGACTCTGGAGTAGGGAAGACCAGTGTACTTTACCAGTACACCGATGGGAAATTTAACTCCAAGTTTATCACAACAGTGGGCATTGATTTCAGGGAAAAGAGAGTGGTAAGTTCTACATCTTTCTAAATAAGAATGTAATCTCTGAGTTCACATTTACCTGTCGGTTTAGTTTACTTTGTAGAAATTAGAAGGACAAAGGTTGTAATCTAAAATTAAAGGGTACATATGAAAGTGTTATGTCCATCTGGGTGGTGTGATTTAAAAGGCTGTGCTGAGGGACATTTGGTATACAACTAAGCAGACAATGTAAAAGTGAAGATTCTTTTGAATTTTCCCTTGATATCTTTTTGGCTTATATCTTCTCTCTGAACTCCACAAAATTATTTGTCTACCTTTTTTGTGAAGCCTACAAACCAGTCTTATTGGGATCCCTTGTATGTGCTTTTAAGGTTCTCTTCTTGTGTGTGTGGGCGGCTCTGCTCACAGGGCCTACCCCCTCCCCCCGCTGCCATGGATGAGAATAAGTCTACAAAGACATGATCTGCTTGGGAAGGAAAGGTGGCCAATGTCTCAAAAAAGAAGGGCCCTGAACCTGTTCCTCAATGGACTTTTATTGGGTTTAATTTGCATAGGAATACAGGGTGTAAAGCTCATCAGTCATCGTCAGGCAGAAATGATCAAACAATAGATAACATTAAAAAAAGTATAGGGGCTTATTCTGAGTCAGGGTCAGATAGTTATAGGGCCATAAAACTTTGGTGAACAAACTCCCTTCATGCTCCGACCCTTATCATTTGAATTGAGGTATTAGCAAAGTAGGTTTTTAGGACTTTGTGCATTCTTTCTTAGGCCTGATTGCCCTAGGGAACCTGCCCTTTCCAGAGCCATGCCACACCCACCTTCAGCATTGTTTCAGGCTTAAGTCGGGCAAAGGAAATAAGGCAGCCAAGAAATTAGGAGATTTCTTTTAGACAGAATGAGGATTCGGGGTATGTCAAAGCTGAGGGGTGAGGGTCCATCACCTCCTTTTTCTATAGCTCCCCAAGTCCTTCCTTGAGGGCCCCTCATGACCGTGCCTGTCTTAGGTCATCCCTCTTTTGAGGAATCTTACCTGTCATTGGCTAACCAGTCATCCACTGAGGGCCAGGCAGGGTGAAGTAACAGTGCAGAGGTGGTGCCTCTGCTGGGGAGATAAGTTTTGTCTCCTTAGTGGCTTAGAGTCCCAAGGTCTCTCACTCAGCCTTAGCCATGGGGGGTTACAGCTTCTGAAACCAGGCAGGGCAGTTCCCAACATTTTTGTATTTGGATTTTAACAGTTTGATGATTGTGTGTCTAGTTAATCTTAATGATTTTATCTTTCTTGGAGTTTACTGAATTTTGGAATGTACAGATAAATGTTTTCCATCAACTTTGAGATATTTTTCTGCTTCTTTCAATCTCTCCTCTTTCTATAGTATTTTCAGTATGCATTTGTTGGTATATTTAATGGTGCTTCATAAATTTCTGAAACTCTTCATTTTTCTTCATTTTTTTCCTTCTGTGCCTTAGACTAGATAATCTCAGCTGACCTTTAAATTCAGTGATTATTACTTCTTCCAGTTTAGTTCTACTCTTGAGCCCCTCTGATGAATACTGTGTTGTTATCTGTATAGTAGAATATCTATAGTACTCTAATTTTTAAATATCTATCTCTTTGTCGACCTTCTGGATTCAGTAGGGCATTATTTGCATACTTTGCTTTAATTCTCTTTTTATTTTATTTTACTTTATTTTTTAAATCATTTATTGTTGTTCTATTACAGTTATTCAATTCCCCCCATCCTCCTTTGCCCATCATAACCCCCCACTCCCACAGTTAATTCCCATGCTGTTGTCCACGTTCATGTTCTTTGTCTAGTCCTTTCAATTTTCTTTAGTTCTTTGAACATATTTATAATTGCTGGTTTAAAGTCTTTGTCCAGTAAGTTCAACACCTGGGCTTCCTCAAGAATAGTTTCTATAGGTTGTTTTTTTCCAGTGTACGAGGCATGTTTTCTTGTTTCTTTGTATGTCTCATAACTTTTGTTGAAAACCGGACATTTAAAATAATATAATGTGGCAACTCTGGAAATCAGATTTCTTCCCCCCTTTGAGAGTTTCTTGTTTTTTTGCTGTCTGTTTTTTTTGTTGTTGTTTATTTATTTATATTTCTGTTTGTTCATTTAGTGACATTCTTGGGCTAATTCTGTAAAGTGTATTCTTTGCTATGTGTGGCTCCAGAAGTCTTTGCTCAGTTAACTTCGTAAATTTCTTAAACCAGAGAGACTCTCATCTTTTCTGAGGAATTGTGTGTTTGTGTGTGTTGTGACACGTACTTAATGCTCCTGTAAGTGGTTTAGAAGTCTGCCTTAGCTTTCACTTCATGCCTGACAGAAGCTTGAAGGACAGTCAGAGGTGAGGGATTAGGGCCTTCTCAGGTTTTTCCTGGGCATATGTACAGCTCTACACATGAGCATGGTCCAATAGGTACCAAGGAATATTTTCCAGCTTTTCAAACCTTTCTATGAACATCTCATTTCCACTTCTTTCTCTTTTTTTTAAGTCCTTTGGTTAGATTTTTGTTAGTCTCAACTGGTATTTGCTTTTGGTAGCTGTTAAATACTTGCTGCTGATTATTTTCACCAATGCCCAAGGTGTAGGGTTATTCTCACAGAGCAGCTCTGAGTCAGGTAATACAAAGACCAGGCCTGTGATGGGGCTTTCCAGGCAGCTTTCAGTTCTCTGGGGGGTGAGAGTTGGAGGCAGCTCCAAACCTGTTGTGCCTCCACTGTCTGCAGTGGCTGCTATGCTGAAGGTTTTCACAGCTGATTATGTACCTGTCGGTGTTCAGACCTGTTGTGGAGCTGGGGAAAGGGCGATGAGAACAGGGCAAGTTAGAACAGCACAAAACTTACTGTTTTTACTGACATTCAGAGTTCTGAAAAAGTTGATTTTGACAATTTGTGCCAGTATTCCCATTGCTTTTATGGAGAAAGAGATTTTTCAGAGGTACTTTCTATAAAATTGTTTTCAGAGTACTTTTTAAAGCTGGGATGGGGAAAAGTCATAGAAAGGTAGTATTTCTTGAAATGCGTGACCTAAGGGAACTTTGAAATGATATATTATTTATATATTTCATAATATATTTATAAAATATGTATTTTAATACAAATTATCATATTCAAAGACAGTTATTCAAAATAAAAAATACAAATAAGGTTGTATTCGAAATGAGATTTTCTTTAGAAGATTTTGCTAGAGCTGCACTGAATAGGAAAAGTAAGAAGAGTTCACTGGTCTCAGAAGTTCTCTGTTTCTCATTTGTTTTGCTGTTTTAGGTATACAGAGCCAATGGGCCAGATGGAGCTGTTGGCAGAGGCCAGAGAATCCACCTGCAGTTATGGGACACAGCAGGGCAGGAGAGGTATGAGATCTTCAGCTTTGTGCCTCTTACTGGAGGAAAGGGAAAAACGGCTGTACCTTTCATACAGTGAGCCAAGCAGGGAAGGGCCAGCCCATTAGTTGATTTGCATCTGGATAAGACATACTGCCAAATTAGCAAGTAAATTTTTCAGTCAGAGTTGATAACAGTGACTTTATTTCATACAAGGTCAAAGGAAAAAATGAATTCAGAGTGGACCAACTTACTTATGGACTTGTTTCTATTTCTTCTTCATTTTCAAAGAGGCTTATACACCTTTTTCCATTGACTTTTGCCACTTAGCCACAAAAAAGCTACAGAGTTATACATATGTATTATTCTCACCAGATTGTTGAAAACTAGTGGAAAATCCGGTTGGAATTAACTCACATGATCAGAAGTTGCTTGACCAAAATAAGTCACATGAAATCTTGATGTAAAGTTGCTTTTAGTTAGCTAAGGTTTTTTTTTTTTCTCACAGATTCCTTAAAAGATTTTTAAAAACTTTTTATTACGAAAAATTTCACGTATATAGAGAAGATAGTATATATGATGAACTCATGTATTCATTTCCCAGTTTCAACTGTCATTAAGTTGTGGCAAATCTTATTTTATATATATCCCTCATCCCTATTCCCTCTCCCAAATACTTGTCAAGCAAATTCCAAATATCAGATTATTTCATTCATAACTGTCTTGGTATGTGTCTCTAAAACATAATGACTATTTTTGTAGGGCCATTGACTAGAAATATTTGAGAAAACTTAAAACATAATATTAAATGACAAGTTAATACCAGTATTTTCTTCCCTGGAGTCTATGTCTGTCAGCTGCAGGCTTTGCATAAAGGCAAAGTAAGAGGAAACTGTTAGAGGGAGCAAGAGGGGAGGCAGCAGCATGAAACCTTGGAAGAGAGGGTACCAAGAAAGGATAGGGGCTGAGTCATTACCACTCCCACCTTTAAGCCAAAGGAATGGCTCATCAGAGGTAAGAGATTGCTGTAGATATTGAAAAGAAAAGGACACGGAACATGTTGTAATGTCAGGTGAAGCCAAGCCTCACAGAAGAAGGAAAACACGCACAGCAAGCGCCATTGTTTTGGTTTCGTTAACTCCGACTTGATACTAAATTATTGGTTGAGACTGAAGGGTCACGAACTGGTTTTGTCATTCCTGTCCGGCAGGCTGGGTTTTCAAATCACATGGTCTGTTAACACATAAACTTATATAAGGGATGAATAACTGTCTTATATATACAGTTTTGGAATACCATCATCTAATTTTTTTCTAAATTTTATGTTTATGCAGATTGTTTTTATTTTAAAAGAAAATGACAAGTATACTTTTTGATAATTGTTGGTATTTAAAAAAATCTAGATATATTTCAAATAATCTTTCTTGCTCTAGATAGCTATTTACTGTATTTTGTAAGATATCATTGATTACACTCATAATTTTATACTATTAAGGTGTCATTTATCATAGCACACTTTACTGAATCTTTTGTCACTAAAAGCTGTAATATGCATGTGTAAAGTGAAGTTATTAGACACAACGGCATGTAATTAAACGTCTAGTTTGATGTTGATGAACTACGGGGAGAGGCTGAGGCACTGCTGGTGGCTTTATGCTTCAGGAGCGGGGCTATGGTTTAGGTGATCCATCTGCTTTATGTTCCTAGGTTTCGAAGCTTGACAACAGCATTCTTCAGAGATGCTATGGGGTTTCTTCTGCTTTTTGATCTGACAAATGAGCAAAGCTTCCTCAATGTCAGAAACTGGATAAGTAAGTGTTATTGTGTTCCTGCCTCCCACTCCCTACAATAAAATGTCCTCTTATATTCTACTTTTGTTGTAAATTGTTTGGGAAGAAATCTTAGTGCTGTTTTAAATGCTATTTAAAGAAGCAAGACTATCAGTTTAGGGGCAAGATAACTGAAATGCTCTGTGTCCTAGTAGTACCAGCCTCGTTGTTGAGTTCGCCTGTGCTCCCGGTGTCAGGCAGGTCTTCCCATGGAATCTCTTAATCAGCCTTTTCCACAGCGGGCACCCATCCCCATCTTGTAAAGGACGGTGTAGAGACCTAGAGAAGTTAAATCTCTAAGTATCTGCTGGCCTATTGTGCATTATCAAGTCTTGTATCATTCTGGGGTTTAAACTGTATATTATGCAGATTATGTATATTACAACATAAATATCTTTGGAAGGCTTAATGGATTAGATCTCTGGCTGCATGTCTCCTCTGCTTAGAGGCCTTTACTTTTAGGGTCAGACATTTGCCAGGAGGACTCTAGAACTGCATTGGCAGAAGTGGTCTCCAGCATTATATATATATACTTTCATTTTGGCTTTTCGGAGAGATCCCAGTCTCTTAAATGATTGTTAGTAGCCATTTAAAATCCTGCTACTTGGCCAAATAATAGCTTGCAAATGGTACATTTTCTTCCATTGGTTGTATTAGTACAAATCTAGAGAATGTATTGGGAAAGGCTGTGGTGTTAGAAGTCTACTTATTCTTTAATATATGGCCAAGTATGGCCTTCCAGAAAATTTTTGGGATAACTTTAGTCGGAATAAATTTTTTTGTCCTTCATTATTGCTATTACATTTGGTAATAATTTAGGGTCCTTATCACAGACCATCTTGAGTCATAGTTGTTTAAACATGTGCCTTTTTTCTTAGTGAGATTTTTAATAAGATTTTATTTATTTATTTTTAGAGCGAGGGGAAGGGAGGGAGAAAGAGAAGGAGAGAAACATCAATGTGCGGTTACCTCTCATGAGTCCCTTTCTGGGAACCTGGCTGGCAACCCAGGCATGTACCCTGCCTGGGCATCAAACCTGTGACCCTTTGGTTTGCAGGCTGGCACTCAGTCCACTGAGCCACACCAGCCAGGGCATCTAAATGAAATTTTTCAAAGCATTGATTAATTTACTTTTTATAGAAGTAATTTAGTCTTTAGAAAAAGCTAGGAAAAAAGAAATAACAAGAAAAATCACCAATAATCACACTTTCCAGACCCCAACAAATAAAATTATTATTATTATTTTAATCAAATTATAATCATTTGATTCTTGGCTTCATCCACTCCACTGTTGGTTTCCTGTAAATTTTTCTTTATTTCACTTATTGTGATCTTCATTTCTGCCCAGGTCTTTTTTATTCCATTGAAGTAACCATTGAATTCCTTGCACATCCTAATAACCAGTGTTTTGGACTCTGTATCTGTTAGATTGCTTATCTCTATTTTGTTTAGTTCTTTTTCTGGAGTTTTTTCTGTTCTTTCATTCGGGCCATGTTTCTTTGTCTCCTCATTTTGGTAGCCTCCCTGTGTTTGTTTCTATGTATTGGGTAGAGCTGCTTTAACACCCTATCTTGGTTTGTGGCCTAATGTGGTAAGTGTCCTGTAGGGTCTAGAGGGAAAGCTTCCCCTATGACCCAAACTGGATACTCAAGTTGCACCTTTTTTGTGGGCGAGTACACCCTCCTCTTGCAGTTTAGCCTTTGATTGCTGTTGGCAGGAAAATAGAGGGATTTACCCAGGGCAGTCAGCTTTAAGGATTGGTTTTGACCACTTACCACCAGCCTCTCCCTCCATGGAGAATCAGCTGTACAGGGTGGGTGGTGGTGCTCCAACGTGGTCTCTAGCTGTCCATTAGGTGCACAGGCTCTTAGGTTCCCCTGGTGGTGCAGGCCAAGGTCATCCCCCACTTGTGTTCTGTCTGGGGCTACCCTGCATAAGCTATGAAGCCATCTGAGATGACTGCTACTTGTGGTGGGCTTGGGGATTCCTAGTTGAAGCCAAGCAGTATATCTAGGCTGGCTGCTGCTAGTGCTGTGCCTGGAGCTGCTTAGCAAAAGGTACAGGCACTGAGGGCTTGCTGAGGTGGGCTGTTGCTTTTTTGAGAGGATTTAGAAAGTTGTGAAGCATGAGCCAAGACCAGCCTTTCATATGGAAAAGTCACTGTTAACAGCTTGGTTGGGCCCATAAGTTGGATGAGGTCGAGCCTCAGGGATCTTCAGTGTAGGATGGACAGTGTTAGTCAAATGATGGAGTCTGAGATACGGCGCCCACCTGCCAGCTCTGTGGCTCTGTGGGGCGAGGGTTCAGAAAAAGGACAACGGACTCTGCCTGCCTTTCTGTCTGAGAGAAAGCTGTCCCTCAGCTTTTGCCTTGATGCCAGAGACCTCAGGTCCTCCCTATATGCCAAAGGTTGCCTGTTGCAAATATACTTTTAAAAGAAAATGAAGAATGAATGTTCAAGTAGCTACCCCAGTGCTGGACTCAGAGGGAGGGAGTCTGAATAGGTCTGTGTGGGTTCTTTAATAGGAACAGCTTGGGACTCCAGAAGTTTCTTCTGCCAACTCAATTCCCCCTGTTTTTTTGTTTGTTTGGTTTTTTAGCAACAATTTTGGGGACTTAATCTTCCTGGCCCTGGAACTGTGGGCTGGGGTCCTGATGTGGGGCTGGGATATTACAAGATATTCCACTTCCAAGATATTCCTCCCACATTTTTATTCACCACACATGGATGTGGGGTGAGCCTGTTCTGCATCTCTGTCTCCCCATCTGTCTGGATGGACGTGGTTTCTTTAATTCCGTAGCTGTCAGACTTCCCGTTCACCTCTGTTTCTGACTGTTCTTAATGTTGGTTGTTCTATAGTTTTGTTGTAATTTTGATGTAGCCGTACTAGGAGGCTAGCTGTGTTTACCTGTCACTCCACCTTGACGGAAATAAACATTATTAAACATTATTACTAGTCATATTCACATAGCCCTTTTCCTTCTCCTCTCCTTCTGGTTCTACATAGCACTTCCACATGCTTCAACATGTGAACTTCATGGTTCTCAGATGCAGATGTGCATCTAGCTCACCCAGAGGCCTTGTTAAAACACAGATTCTGGGCCCTGTACTGAGTGTTTCTGATTCAGTAGATCGGTGTTGGGACCTGATCATTTATATTTCTAACAACTTCTTATGTTGCTGGTTCACAGATCTTGCTTAAGAATCACTGAATTAACTCATTCACTCCTCACTTTAACCCTGTGAATTAAGTACCATTACTACCCACATGTACATGTGGGGAAACTGAGGCACAGAGCAGTCTAATGAGTTTCCCAGGGTGGCACAGCTAGCAAATGGCAGAGCCAGGACTCAACCTTAGACACACTGGATCCTGAGTTCATGCTTAGACCCATGTCACTGGACATACAAGGTGTTGACAGCACAGAGCTGCTCTGGACACCAGAAAGTTTTCACAGTAGAGGTACCTGAGAAGCAAGTCTTTTTTTAAAAAATATATTTTATTGATTATGCCATTACAGTTGTCCCATTTCCCCCCTTCATTCCCCTTCACCCTGCACCCCCTCCCTCACTATTCCCCCTTTAGTTTATGTCCACGTGTCTCAGGTTCTTTAGATTCTATATTTCCCATACTATTCTTGCCCTTCTCCCTATTTTCTACCTACCGTCTATGCTACTTATTCTTTGTACCTTCTCCTCCCACTCCCCTGTTGCTAACCCTCCATGTGATCTCCATTTCTATGGTTCTGCTCCTGATCTAGCTGTCCACTTAGTTTGCTTTTGTTTTAGGTGTGGTTGTTAAGAACTGTGAGTTTGCTGTCCTTTCACTGTTCATCTTTTTTATCTTCTTTTTCTTAGGTAAGTCCCTTTAACATTTCATATAATAAGGGCTTGGTGATGATGAACTCCTTGAATTTGACCTTATCTGAGAAGCACTTTATCTGCCCTTCCATTCTAAATGAAAGTTTGTTGGAGAAAGCTTTGCTGGATAGAGCAATCTTGGATGTAGGTCTTTGGATTTCATGACTTGGAATACTTCTTTCCAGCCCCTTCTTGCCTATAAGGTCTCTTTTGAGAAATCAGTTGACAGTCTGATGGGAACTCCTTTGTAGGTGACTGTCTCCTTATCTCTTGCTGCTTCTAGGATTCTCTCCTTCATTTTAATCTTGGCTAATGTAATGATGATGTGCCTTGGTGTGTTCTTCCTTGGGTCCAACTTCTTTGAGACTCTCTGAGCTTCCTGGATTTCCTGGAAGTCTATTTCCTTTGCCAGATTGGGGAAGTTCTCCTTTATTATTTGTTCAAATAAGTGTTCCACTTGTCTCTCTTCTTCTTCCCCTTCTGATAGCCCTATAATTTGGATGTTGGAACATTTAAAGATGTCCTGAAGGTTCCTAAGCCTCTCCTCATTTTTTTGAATTCTCGTTTCTTCATTCTTTGCTGTTTGGTCGTTTTTTTCTTTCTTCTGGTCCACTCCCTTGATTTGAGTCCCAGTTTCCTTTTCCTCACTATTGGTTTCCTGTGCATTTCCCTTCATTTCACTTTTGTTTAGCCTTGATATGTTCCTCTAATTTGTGACTAAAATCAACCAGTTCTGTGAGCATCCTGATCACCAGTGTTTTGAACTGTGCATCTGATAGGTTGGCTATCTCTTGGTCACTTAGAAGTATTGGCTCTGGGGCTTTGAGCTGTTCTTATTGAGACATAATGTTTTGGTCTGTTCGTGCCTGTTATGTATGAGGGGGTAGAGCCTTAGGTGTTCACCAGGGTGGGGCAAACCAGTAGCTGGGTTTTGATGCTGTATGTGGGGGCGGGGTCAGAGAGGGGCAGTGGCATTTGTTCTGCTCTCTCTTGTATTTTGGTCTCCTCTGCTGCTTCCCACAAGCAAATTGGTCCCTTCTGATGCTGGTTGCTGTGTGTGTGGGCCTGTACACCCTCCAGGACCCTGTGGGTCTCTCCAAGGAACTCTCTGTGAGCCTGGGAGCCTCTTCCAGCACCTCAACCCCAAAAGTTTTTCCAATCAGTGCTTTTAGGCTTTATTTCCCAGCCCTGGGGCCCTGGGTTGCTCGGTCTGTCTCACTGCTTGCTCTTCGGCCTGGTTTATCTGCACACGAATGTGTGACTGTGGTCTGCCAGCCACCTTGCGCCCTCACTGGGTCCGCCTGTTGCCACCCCACACCTGGGATCTGCCAACTGCTGACTGTGCACCTGGATCGGCCAGCCACCTTTTCCTGTCCAACCCCGCTTCGCCAGCAGCTGACTCCTCCCTTCTTACCAGTCTAGCTCAGTGGTTTGTTGTTGTAGGACTTCTGTAAAGTTCAATTTTGTGTGTTTTGGTTGTGTTTTTGTTACTAAAACTTGGTTGTCTTTAAACTTGGTTGTGTGAGGAGGCATAATGTTTCCACCTATGCCTCCATCTTGGCTGGAAGTTGAGAAGCAAGTCTTAAATGGAAGTGAGAGGAGTCCCTGAAGGAAGGCTGTAGTTGGGCGTTCAAGGGGGCGAGGACAGCATGTGCAATGGCCCGGAGGAAAGAACAGCATCGCTATTATTGGAGACTGCACAGTTTGGTCTTGCCTATATGTTTCTTGTTTCCCTGGTTGTCCCTTGAGGGCAAAGGTCATTGTTTGAAAATTCTACACCAAGTATCAGGCCCAGGTTAACACTCAGTAAATGCTTGCCACTCTGACTTTCTCCTGATAACATAAAATGAACACAACTTCATAATGAGGAACTAAAATGTCAACACTTTTCTGGTTAACCATGATAAAAAATAAATTAGGCCATAAACTTTGTGAAAGTTTGGGCTGCTTTAATTTCATTATGGGGCATGTTAAGTAATAAAAAGACTTTATTTTCCTTCTTTGGAAGATTAAACTATTTAGTTTAATGAAGCTCTTTTGTTTGATTGAATTGCTTTTAAAATTATGTCTGCAGGTTTTCAGGTAAAAAGAAATAAAGGCTGTGGAATAAGAATTGTAGTCCCCTGCTCTTCCGGGTTCTGGTGAATAAAGAGTCATTGACTCTTTATTCTGGATTTTCTCTCTTCATATAATCCTGCATCTAGTTTTAAATAAATTTATTCTGTTGCTTTTTAAAAAACATTTTTAAAATATTTAATTTATTTATCTTTAGAAGGGAAGAGAAGGAGAGAATATCAATGTATGGTTGCCTCTCCTGTGTCCTCTGCTGGGAACTGGCCTGCAACCCAGGCATGTGCCCTGACTGGGAATCGAACCGCGATCATTTGGATCACAGGCCTGCGCTCAATCCACTGAGCTACACCAGCCAGGGCTAAATGAATTTATTCTGTCTTAGAATAATAGAAAAATGTGAAATACATTTTAGATAGAAATAGGTTAGCTTATAGGAAGCTCTTTTAAAATTATGATTGCTGTGGAGAGAAAATATGTGGAGAAGTTTTAAAGTTAGCAATGAGCCTTGGGAAGTCCTCCAAGTTTTTTTCAATTGGCCTTTATAAAAAAGACTGCCACCTGTTGTGTGCATGTGTGTGTGTGTGTGTGTGTGTGTGTGTGCACACGCACATTTTTGGAGGGTTCACACGTTTTCCCATTTCTCTCTGGCATACGTAAGCTGGGGTGTGTGTCTAAGGGCGGGAGTAGTTTTATATCTCGGCCTCTTCCTTCCAGTTTTACAGATTAGGGTACTGATGCTTTGGAAACACTATATCGGTTTTTTTATCTCTATATCCATTTACCGTTTTCACAGCACTTTTGCATGTATTCTTCATTGATCATACACTTACGTTATTGTTGACCTATAATTTTCTTATCTTTTTATCTCCACAGGCCAGCTACAAACGCATGCATATTGTGAAAACCCAGACATAGTGCTCTGTGGAAATAAGAGTGATCTGGAAGAGCAGAGAGCAGTGAAAGAGGAGGAAGCCGTAGCACTTGCAGAGAAATATGGGTGAGTGTTTTGGTGGAGAAATCTAGAGAAAACATTTCCAATGTAAACACATGAGTACATGAATACATAACACAAAGTATAAAAGCAAAAAATAAAACAAAAACACCCAGATATAGGCCTTGGAAGGTATAAAATACCTACTTTATATATTAATATTATATTATAGTGGGGCCCATAGAAAACACATTGTGGGTGGGCCCTCGTTCTGTGCTTCAGCCCCACTTTCTCAGCCTCTTGGTGTTTGAAGAAAGACAGCTTTATGTCCTAGTTTTGTAAGGCCTCCTTTGTAAGATGCAAGTAGGAGACCCCCAGGATAAGCAAATCCTCTAGGTTTAGCAAGGAAAGTTCAAAGCCAGTGGACATGCTGCTGTGCAGAGCCCCAGCACACGAGAGGGCCTCATCGGCTTCGAAATTTCTATGCTGTGAAGATCCCCTTCGGTTTATACTGTATTTTTATGGTGGAGAATCAACTAAATACCGTCTATGTCCTTGAACGCTGGGAAGAGGATCATAGTAGTAGCAGCATTAATGGGACGTGAAAGGAGGGGTCAGCCACTTTTCTCTCTACAAAGGGCACCTCCACAAAGGAATTTAGGGAGTTGTGCTTTACTATCTTTCTATCTTCGCTACAATGAGAACTCAAGTGTATATATATTAATTACCCTTAATATAAGTGGGAGGCAGCCAGTGGGGTTGAGGAGTGGTATGGAATGTAGGGGCTGTTCCCTGGCTAGCGGCCCTGGTTGTTAGACGGAATCCAAGGAGGCCAGTGGAGGCCCTTTCCCTGTTCATTGTCGGCCTCTGCTCTGCTCTTTCTTGGTCTGATGAAGGTTCAGCAGGCAGGGAGTTGCTGAAAGCCTTTGGACAAAGAGGGATGTTATGAGTACTTTGTTCAGATCAGTCTGGGGGTTGTGGTTGGAATGAAATTGGAAGGAGGAAAGACAGGAATGGAGGTTGCAGTGATCCGTGAAGTGGGCAGGGGCTAAATTTGTGGGAAAAGAAAGGGACTCAATCAGAGAAAATACACAGGGTGAGGCAGAAGAGCAATTTAAATCTCTCTCAAGTCTAGCTCATGCAGCAAGAGGGTCATTCCCATCAATGATACTGGCTTACCCTGGTAAGGATTTGCGATAAGATGTGGAGGTTTTCACTCAGGGGTAGGTGGTGTTGAACCACGTTAGAAGCACCTGGGGAGCTTTTAACAAATACTCATGTTTGGGCCTCACCTCTGGGCTTCTGACAGAATTGGTCTGGTGTGGTTTATCAGGCACAGTTCAGTTGAATATATACTCGCATATAAAGGGATTTGATGTCATGCAGTTGTGGGAGCTGCGTAGGCAGTCTCTGTAATGCGCTGAGTCTGATGCCAAAGCTTGAAGTCCACAAGACAGGTGGTCAGGAAGGGAAGACAGATTTAAAGAGGGGGAGAGCGAGAAGCAGCTGGGGCCTATGCTGACAACCGAACCCTGTGTCAGCATTGCCTCCTCTGACCTGGATGGCATCAGTGTCCTGCAGCAGCCAGGACACTTCTCACAGAGCTAAACAAAGACACCTGGCCCAGGAGTTGGAGAAGCTGAAGGAGGACCTGGCGAAGGTGGAGCAGGTGCAGGTGCGGCTGCTGGCTTATGCCAATGAGATGAACCAGCAGATAAATGACAGTGTATGAGAGCCACGGAATGGCTTCTGCTTCATTTCTGTCCCCCAGATCTCTGTGGTTCCCCCTAACTGGAAAGGAATTCTGGGAAATGTTGTTCAACCTAGCCAAGTTGACTTATTTCAAAGCCACTATAGGTGGGGGCCTGGGCGCTGGTGAGCTCTTAAAGCTCTTCACATGATTTTCTGACACTGTGTTTGAGAACCTCTACCTGAGGTGACAGAGCCCTGCGGGCGATTCGGATGGGCTCCTCCAACGGCTGTTGAGAGGCACTCCTGCCCTGTAGTGGCAGTGATCAAACACCAGGGAGGATGCGAAGTGCTGAAGCTGGGAGCTGTGTCGCAAGCGGGTCAGGAGGAAGTAAGTGATGAAGCAATGGAAACCACGAACCTGGACCATGCTTTTCAGAAGTTAGTAAAGGTCAAAAAGAAGAAAATAGGGCAGCCAGTAGAGTTGGCTAGATCAAACAAGTATATTCTCCAGTATTGGGGCACAGTCAGGATTGACTTCCTCCCCCTCCGGGCTTCTTCAGCCCTTTGCTTGTTGTCTTGGTGCTCAGATTTCCACTCCCTGCCCAGGAAGAGCCCGCATTTGCCTTCTGACCCTGTGGGGGAATCTGTGGATACAGGATAGTTTCTCCTGTGCTCTGATCCCAGGTTTGGGGATATGTTAGAGGCTCAAACTGAAGTTTCAGGATTGAATTAAAATGAGGAGAGATAGAAGTAGCAGATAAAGTGATTGAAACTATCGGAGAAGAATGGAAAGGGTTGGAAACAGAATTCTCCTAAGAATAAGGAAGTATAAAGTACAGTTCTATAGGCTGTTTGCCAGTCTCAGAGGAAAATATGATGGAGCAATTTGGTTCATTGCTTATAGCAAGTTTGACATGGAAATTTAATGATCCTTTCTACAGAAATCTTTTTTATTCTTAATGACAATATTTTCATTGGTTGCACATGCACTAAAGGGCTATGTTGGTGACTTAATTTATGTGCTGTCTGCAAACGTGGTTTATGGCATATCTTCTGTCATTGCTGTGTTGTCTGACACATTTGCACTTTGGTTATTATTTTGCTACCTTCTGTCCTCAATTCAGAAAAGTGGATTATTGGTTCACAAGTGATTTTCTGAAATATATGTACATTCAGAAAATGACAGACTATGTCTCAGAAAAGCTTTGCAAAGCTAATAAAAAACATGTTACGGGGCAGACATGGAACACCAATCTGCCTGTGCTGGGTCGGGCAAATCAGTGAGCGAGAACTTCCTCCAGCAGCCTTCATCTGGGAAATTTATTTTCGGTAGACCGAAAATCCATCTACCTCTCATTCCCTGTAAAGTCTTTTTTGCTGTAAGACTTGGTAAACATGATGTTCTGATATCACTTCCTAACACAATGAAGTGATTTATTAGTAAAACAATCAAATTTTTCTAGAATACATACAAAATAATATTTTCCAGTGTTTCATATTGAATAATATTGTCAGTGAAGTCACAGAAGAGAACAAAACAGGTTCATTCAAGTCTGTTAGTCCCGCCAGTCAAAATACTATTACAATTCACACTGTTGCTGAAACACTTGTGAGAATAGCTACAAAGCCAGTGACAAATGTGTTGGAAGAGAGCAGAACACAATGTTGCCGACAGTCCTTTTGCAGGTGGTGCTGTTGGACCTCAGGCCTCAGTGAGCTTCAGAATACCTGACCACTGGGCCCCAGTTTCTGATGCAGTAGGTCTGTGTCTCAGAGCCCCCGAATTTACATTTCTAACTGATTTCCAGATGTTGCTGCTGGTGGTTGAGGACAGCACTTTGAGACCCATCAGTGTAGGTGCCAAGTTACTATCATGTGTGCATGCTGGCAGATAGTTTCCTGGACAGAATAGCTGGACAGAATCACTTTCACACAAAATATGAAGCTGTTGTTTACTTGTGCCATGTGTGGGTGAGGGTAACATGTTCAGTTATTTCTCATTGGAGAATCCATGCTAAAGAGGGAAAGGAATGTTTTCCCCTTACACAGTTAATTGTACCAGCTGTGATATAGACTTGGAAGGGGTGCTGGGACTGGGACTGAAGGAGTGCCAGCCACAGTGGGCAGGCAAGGAGTTGGTGAATAAAAGCATGGCTGCATGCTTTTTTAGGATGGTTGCACCTATCCCTGGCTGGTGTAGCTCAGTGGATTGAGCATTGGCCTGCAAACTAAAGAGTCAGTGGTTTGATTCCCAGTCTGGGCACGTGCCTGGGTTGCGGGCCAGGCCTTCAGTAGGGGGTGCATGAGAGGCAACCACACATTGATGTTTTTTTCCCTCTCTTTCTCCTTCCCATCCCCTCTGTATAAAAATAAATTTAAAAAAAAATTAAAGATGCTTTCACTTAAGTTCCCTCCCAAGCTCTGCCTTACTTAACGGAGATAGCTGGTAGTCATGATAAGCCTTTTGTTTTTGATTCAGAGTTGCAGAAAATAGAGAAAATTGTGAATGAGATGGAAGCATGATGATTGAATGTACACCTTTCATGTACTGGGCAAAGAAATTAACAGCAAATTAAAAAAATTGAAATATAATTGACATATAGTGTTGAATTATTTTCAGGTGTATGATATAATAATTTGGTATGTGCATATACTACAAAATGATTACCAAAAAATAAGTTTAGTTAACATCCATCGCCACATATAGCCACAAATTTTTTTTCCTTGTGATGAGACCTTTCAGGGTTTACTCTTTAAGGGGCAGCACATTTAACGCAACTTATCTTCCCATGGAAGGCTGTTGGCTATTAATGAGGAAGATGCTCAAGAGTTTTTGGAATGAAGGATGAGTTTGAAAACATTTACTTACAGCATTCATAACATGAGTGCAGGCCGTTTCTGGAGTTTCAAGTGGCTTAGTTCAGCAGAATGCTCAGTATTCATCTAGTCTGAGCTCGATGAAGGGAGGTATGAGTGGCTTGAGCTCTAGTAGCTGGCTTTGCAGACTGGATGACATCAGAGCCCCACACAAGTCAGCACAGGGTCTAGATTTCATTTGGCACAATCTCCCTGGTTGAAACCATCCATACCCTAGCCCTTTACTGCAGTGATTTTCAATCGCTGCGCCTTGTACACTGGTGTGCCATGAGACCGTTTGGTCAGGGGCACGGACCTCTTTTCCCTTAGATTGTCAAGTTAACAAAATGACCACAGCCAACACAATAGTAGCCTTCTGGTGTGAATGCCCTGTCTTGAACCATAATATATAGGTCATATAATAGAGTTGAATCTTATTGGTCACGTCACATGATAAGGTTGCGTCTGATTAGTTAATTCTTGGTACCAGAAATCTTTACGTATAAGTGTAGGCATGTGACTTTTTAGAAAGTTACTTTCAAATTACATTTCTATTACTATTACTATTTACTATTAGTAATTAATATTACTATTAGTAAAAGGGTAGATAATTACTATTATTATTCTTTTGTGAATAAATCAAAATTATACCTATTTTTGTCAGATCAGCAAAAAATGTATTTTCTGTGTGCCACAGAATTTTAGTAATTACTTTTTGTGCACCATGAGATGAAAAAGGTTGAAAACTGTTGCTTTGCTGTCATATTGTGTTCATTAAGCATCCAGCAGACTTTGAAAAGTAGTGAGACTCAGTTCCTACTTTAGTGAAAAATTTCCCCATAACTGCTGATCAGACCACGTGAGCAAATATCTAGAACCACTTGGGAGAATTCTTAAATACAATTGATTTTATTCCTAACAAATCCTAAGTGGGACCGTGGCTCTTCTATTTTTTTTAGAAATAAATAATAGAAAAGCAATGAATTGGATGTGAATCCCACCTGATCTATGGCGTGAGCTGGTTTTATAGCCATCTTAATGGAAAACTGCAAATGATGATGCCCCCTTATCGATTTGAAGCTGTTGGTCATTTTCTTCATTTTATTTTATTTTTAAATTTGTGATTAATCTATTTTTTAAAGCACACGAGATTGATGTTCTGCAAGTGTTCCCAATGGCCATTTGTGGTTGCTTACAGCTTGATAGCACCGTTAGTGGCACAGGACTTTTCAAAGATTTGCAGATACGCTCCCTGGTAATGCTGTTTTAGCGCCAACATGTGGAGAGAAGGAGCAATACCACTCTCTATGGTTAAAAAATTACAATTGATCCACTTGAATTTAAACTAAGATTACTAAACTTTTGCCTAGTATATTTTGGGAAAAGCAGAATATTATTTTTAGAGAAAAACCTTATTAGTTAAACTTTTATTGAACAGTTGCTGGATGCTAGGCTTGTGCTAAGCCCTTTACATGCATTATTTCATTTCCTCCTGGACACGACCCTGTGAACCACGGTTACCCCTCGTTACACAGGAACAGAGAAGTATTCAGATGAGGTTCCCCAAATGCCTTCTAAAGGTGAAGGCCCAGAAGATGTGAACGTGCGAGTATTACTAACTCCATCCACTAGACTTTCTATGGCCTTAAGACAAACTGAACAGTCTAAGTTTCAAATGTGTACACGAGGCACATTTCTGTCTCTGGAGCATCATTCTATTATGGAAGGAAAGTCTTACTCCAGGGTCTGCTCTGTGATCACACCTAGTTTGCTTTTTGTCTGGCAGGGCAAAGAGCTGAGAGTGGAGAGGAGCGAGCGCCAGTATTTTGTTCCCACAGGAACAAACCCGCACTTCCCTGATTGCTCAGGAGACTCTGATCAGTCTAAAGATTGTACAGTTGTCAACCTGACTCCTGGTCTTATGATCTGGAGGTTCACAAATGGCAGGAAAATACACTTTAAGTGAAGGACGTAAGTGTGTTGCCTGAATTTGGAACTATAAAAATAAACTACATCTTGTTAATATTGTATACCTTTTAATATGGGAGACTTAAAATATACATCTAATTCATACACCCTGAAATACCACCAATTACATATTTGCTGAAGTTAGTAAACGGGAGACAGTAGCTCATAGCTCTGCTAGAGGCATCAGTCATTTATACTTGAGTATTAATCAGTAAAGTAAGATCCATTTTCTGTCAGCATTTAGTGATGATCACTTGGGGGAATGAGGGGCTCAGTGAGGAGTGAAGAGAGGCAAGTGCTTTGGAGCCCGAGGCGCTCTGGCTGGGGTGGGTCAGCCTGCCTGAGCTGTCCCTTTAGGGCACTGCTGTAGGTCAGTGACATTGTGGATAGAGTCAACACTAGTGGACTAGTCTGGGAATTTAATGTTTATAATGTTGCCAAGGTCTCTTGGAGCTATGACTTTTTATGATTCTGTGACACTGCTTCTATGTGTTCCGAGTTTTAAACAACAAAATCACAAGCAAACTTTTGTACCGAACCCATTTCTGTGTTGGAAGTAAGACATACTTATCAATGACACATTTGTCAAAAAATGACACATTTCCTACATGTCAGATTTCAATCTAAGTGCTTTAAATGTCCACTCACTTAACCCTTATAAGAAGTTCCAGCTATTACCTATTTTCCAGATGAAGCAGCTGAGGGCCAGAGACGAATAGCTCGCCAGTGCTCCATCGAGGGTAACAAGTGCTAAGTTCGCATTCAGGAAGCCTGGGTCTGGAGGTTATGGCTCTTGACCATTGTCCAAATGGCCTGTGATTTCCACGCACAGGTTTCATAGTCTTTAAAAGTACTTTCAACTATGTTTCCTCACTTTTATCTTGAAACTGACTTTGGGGTAATTTTCAGGAGCCCAAAGGGAAGAAACTATGGAAAGTAGAAAGAGCTCAATGGCCATTCAGTTGAGGCATTCAGTGAGTTGGAGGCCTCTAGAGTTGGAAAGATAGTTATAACTGAATTTGTGGAAATTTTAAAAACTAGATGCATATTATTATGATTAGTATTTATATGGAAGTTATTATTTGACTACTTTTATTTTCTATTTTCAATTTTAGCCCATTGTTCTTTGGGGGGAGGGATTCATTTTCCAGTTGCTTTTCCATGAAACAGCTTTCTAAACCACAACGGAGTGATCAAGCCTTCCCCTTAAGTCTAAGAAATGTTCCGTAGACATTAAATGATTCTTCATGGGTATAACTGAGGAAGAGCATGGTGAAGAAAATGTAAGTATGTGAGCCTTGAGAATTCTCTATCCAAAATTCAATTTCTGCAACAATGGCAACATCACAAACTCTCCCTGAGACTTAGCTCAGTAACATCATAGGCCCTCGTTGAATAATTGTTTACTGAGTCCCCATAAAGGATGCCCTCTTAACACTTGCTAATCAAATATTGCATGAGACCAGGAAGGGCGGGTAGAAAAGATGCATTATCTTCATTTTGTGGATAAGGCAGGTGATAACGAGGGAGGAAAAAATACCGACAGTAACCAAAGTGGTAGACAGGCAGGAGGTTGCAAAACCACGAGACCATGCAGTTTGCCTGACAGACACCCTTCTCTGATTAAGATATTTTGGAGTCAGCATATGTCAATATGCTGTCAATACAGACATGGTAGAATCATTGGAGCAACCCTCTCTTGCAAAACAGATGTGTAGATAAATGCTGAAATGAAGTCAGTTCCTTAACCAGTTTTTAGAAGCCATACTAAAGCAGGAGAGAAGTGCAGAAGTCAAGTTGCCAGTCCTGTAGGAAGTGTGCAGATAGGATGCCAGTGGGCGTCAAGGTATCGCAATGGAGAAATAGCCTTCCATCCCTACACACGGATACCCTAACCTGCTTCTTAGTGATGTAAGAAGCAGAACAGCCCTGAAAACATCTGTAAAAGCACAAAGATGGTTTCAAAAATCTGTAAAAAACTCTCATGTGGAAGCTGCTTCTAGCCAGGAAATAACACAAGAGTAAGTGAAATTGTAATTCGAGTCATTGATGCAATGTTTAATGCTAGCACAACACAGGGAAACAAAGACATTCTTTAGGGAGAGTATTAGTGGGGGATTTTTACATCCCTATAAATGGAAGAAATACTTTACTGAATTCAATTGCAGAGCTCCTTGAAGTGTTAAAACATTTTTCTTTTGGAGTTTTTACATCTGAGAGCATTTTGGTCAGATTCCTTAAGTGGTAGAAATGAAATCAACAGTTTGAGGAAATACAATTTTATTACCATGTTCATGGTTTTATTAAAAAAAGGTAGAAGAATCTGGCCGTTGATTAATCCTGTTGTAAAGACTAATTCAGTGCATTAATTAATCCTGTTGTAAAAATTAGTTCAGATGTATAAAGCGTGGCCACCATGAGATTATGTGAAAAGCAGCCTTATAGTTTTGAAATAAAGCTTTGTGAGTTACTTAAAAAATTGCACGCATACCACAGGTCTTTGGATAACAAAACAAACATACTTAAGAACTGAGAAGCAGAATTCAGAATGTCTTCAGGTGGATGGCCCAGGAATACCGCCACCTGGAGGTGACAAGCAGCCAGTGACCTCAGATTTCTCTCTGATGTCAGCATTTTTAGTTTTTTTCATCTCCCCGTGTGCAGCAAGTAAAAGAGATTGGCCTGCTTTGGAACTCCCCATATGATGTATGTAAGTTTGGACGCTGTCAAGCCTGTGGCTGAGTCAGTTACACCGGAATCAAACAGCTGTGGATTCCACGACTAGCTCTGTGCCTTTCTGGCATTATGACATTTGGGCGAGTTACTTTGTCTTCTTGGGCCACAGTTTAATCATCTGCAAAATGGGAATAAAAACTCTAGGAAATTTTACACCTCTATTAGGAATGCAGTGTCAATGATTTTATTGTCTTTTTTATTTTTTTAAATGTAACATGCGCTAGTAACATGTTTTGTTGCCTTGTAGGCTTGTATTTGTACTCTGTTTTATAAGCAGAATTATCCAGGGCAAAGCTCACTGTCCTTTCCTTCTACTAGTCATCATATGAATTGTCTCTGCCTTCCAGAATCCCCTACTTTGAAACTAGCGCTGCTACGGGGACAAACATAAGCCAAGCAATCGAGACGCTCCTGGACCTGATAATGAAGCGGATGGAACGGTGTGTGGACAAGTCCTGGATCCCGGAAGGAGTGGTGCGGTCTAACGGCCACGCGTCTACGGAGCAACTGAGCGAAGGAAAGCAGAAGGGGGCCTGCGGCTGTTGAGGGGTCAAGTGAGCTGCGCAGTGACCGAAGTGGCCCGCGCCTGTAATCTTCTCCCTGGGCAGTGCCCCGCCCAGAGAGAGATGAATGGGCGTTGTGTACAAACTCCTTCTCACCATTCCAATTAGACCAGTCAGTGAAGCATCCAGTTTTAAAATCAGTTTGCTGCAGCTTTGTAAATATTTCTTGAAGATCTAGCCTGAGAGTTAGGAGAAATGTTGCACATAGCCAAAAGTGCCTTATAAATCCTTAGCCTGTGGCAGTAGATCATCAAGGATTCAGGATTTTGTAGCCACTGTGGAGTGTGTTTATTAGGAAGAATGACTGAAGTTATTGTCACCTGCCTTGACATCGATCGGCCTGGTGCCTCACATTCAAGATCTTAGATGAAATTATAAAACAAATTAATCCAAATGAAATCATCTTACTTGTACTGTAAGTAACCTTCTAAAATGCCATCTCAACTGCTGGAATATTAAACAAAAATATACACAAACATCAGTTCATTGTCCTTCAATATTAACCTATGTAAGCATTCTCTTTAAAATGAGCACTGGACAAATTATGGCCATATCTATAGATCTCAGACAAACTGGATTGGCCAATTATATACTCTCTGTGGTTCTTGTAGGTGGGAAAGGGATTGGGCAGGGGTGGCCTAATGTAACTGAGCAACTGAAAGGCGGGGTCTCCGGCTCCCTGCTGTGTTCCACTTGCTCCGAGAGTCAGGGAACTCGATTTTCATGGCTTTAGTTCACTGTGATCTGTGCATTTACACTTGACCAGCATGCTGGCCACATCTGAACACAGCTGGTGCTCATGCTGAAGTTACTTGTAGTAAGTGAATATATAGCTTCTATTCCTTCACATTTACAATGTTGGCCTGGCATCTGCAGACCACACCTTCAAATAGCACATGAACTGCTGATCTTCTGTGCTCACCATCGACCTCTGTGTTCTTATTTGCAACTTGTTTCATTTTTACATTGGTGGAATTGATGGAATTAGTTTTTAATTATGTAAATTTTTATTTGCCATTTAGTGGAAGATAGATGTTTATATGTAAGCAGTCACATTTATACTCTAGCACAACATAAGAAAAACTAAATGTTCTGTAGTCTGTGTTTCTCACGGAGATCACGGGCACCTGTACTTGCTGGGTCTCACCAAGCTCATGTGTTCTCCTACATGGCCAACCTGTCTTCATGCCAAATTAAAGGTGGTTTTGGAATAGGCTTCATGGCAGTTTATAAAGGTCAAAGGGGAAATTCTTATTTATTAAAGTTGTTTAAATAGGTTAAAATATCCAAAATACTCAACAGCTATTTAGAAAGAGATACATTATCATATAAATAAAGAATAAAAGTAAATGTATTTTGTGGAGGCAAACGTTTGGCAGAAGTATAGTCAGAAAAACACAACTATGGTGGAAAGCAGTTGCTCTTACGTGATTATTTTCAAACACACTTTTACTGAGTATCTGGTCCGGTTTTTTTGCCACTGCCCTCCTTCAGTTCCCTTAAAAACTTAGCTGTGGTTGCTAAGATGTTATGTATTTCTGTCCTTAAAATTCGAACTTCTTTTAAATCCTAAAGAAGTCGTCGTGTCCTTGAGTTGTGTGTTCCAGGGACGAAGGACTCAGACCCTTCTGGGGCAGAGTCATAATCACAAGCAGTGCCTTCGAAAGTTGCCGTAAATGTCACTGGAGTAAGTCGTGTTTTCATATCAGGGGACATTTACTGTGCTCTATTTGTGCAGTTAAAAAGAAGTCAAATTTCTGTTTCCGTTTTTCAACAACCAAAGGAGCAGCTCGCTACAAATTTCATTCGCCTTAAATATAATGTACAGTTATGTGTGTATACATGACACAGTGCACATACACGAACCATCTTTATGATTGAAATAACTAACCTGTATTCTCTTTGGAAAACCTTTGTTTAAATTTGTTATTGAAGTGCCATATTTTTGTGAGTCAATGTATTTTTCTATTTATAAGCCTGTGTAACAGTGAAGTGTATCTTCTGTGAACAGGGTGCCAACTGAGCTTATAATAAAATAATGATATAGTCTCTCCAGTTTGTATGTGAACATAACTTCCTTTCCCAGCACACTGTTTCAAACCAGAGGTCATAATGCTGAAGGAAACCAAGTTCAGGGACACAGATCCATTAGGTCCTGGATGAGGGGCTGGCCAGGACAATACGTTCTGGCAAAGCAATCCAAATATGTTATTACCAAACGTGTGTGGAGCACCTGTGCCCGCCTCGCTTACTCCCCTGCGTGTGCACTGGCTTTGGAGCCGTGAAATGTGCCGCTGCTTCAGGAGTATTTGCTGTGCTGTTTAAAAAGCTGGTCTTCCCATCTATTTGCATGGCTCTCTCCCCCATCTTTTAAAGCTATTCAGATGTCACTTTTCCCAAAAGGACTGTACTTTCCAGTTTATATACAATATTGATTGCTCCCCTTCATGGCCCTAACCATATTGTTACTTCTTCACCTGTTGTCCAGCTTTGCTTTTGTACAGGTCACTCATCAGCACCTGATACATTCATATGTTCATCTCCTAAAAGATTTAAGCTCCAAAATTGTTTTGTGCTACCCAGAAATATGCTACCCGGCACACATTACTCAAATGGTTATTGGTTGATTGAATATAGTACATAAGAGGCAGCAAGGTTGATTAAAATAGTGTTCAAAATAGGGGTCACTATTAATGTTCAAAGACAGATGGGTAGAATTTAAATATTAACAGCTTCAAAATGTTTAGAAAGGCTCACATATTATAAATCCATATTGGCTTATTATGAGACATTAGGAAATCAGAAGTACATTCTGATCTTTTGAAGTCGATGTAAAGATAGTAAAAAATTATTTAAGAAATATTCTGTAAGGAATGTTTTGTTTGGCATTGATTGTATAAATGGAAAATCTCCATTCTGGGCAATCTGACTATATGATAGTGACTATATAACTGAAAAAATTCTTCCACTCTAAAACTCTTAGGTAATGTTGAATAAAATATAATGAACATATATTTAAATGTGCTGTTGACTGCTCAAGAACGTAAGGGAAGTACCCTAAGACTGCCCTTCTCCCCCACAGCTCAGATGGCAACCACAACGGCAGTGACGGAGGGAACTTACAAGCTGACACTGAGTATGGTTTGGTTCTGACAGTATTAATATCCAAGGCGCTTTGTGTTAGTGGCTACGTGCCGTTCGGAGAGAAAGCCTGGGATCTGTTAGAAGTAGTGCGCTGGAATGGAGAGCTCCCTATCCACAAACACACAAAGCCTGGGTCCAGTACGTCTTAGTCTCCCCTGAGAATTTATAACCCTAAGTCTGTTTTTATACAGGTTTGAGGTTTGAGTTTACATTACCCTTTCCCCCTTCCTTTTCTGGGAATGTCTAAGCTAAGAAATTAATTAAAGGCTTAACAATGAAGTGATTTGTGGTTGATGATCCATCTGGATTACTTGGCAGAGGCAAAGCAAAATCTTTTTGGAGTGAACATCTCCACCCAGGCCTTACAGGATTCTTATAGAAAACACCCTACTAAGTATGGACTCACAATTTAAAACAACAACTCATTCCTTCCTCAAGCATGAGCAAGGGCCAGTAAACCCTAAACAGCAGTACTTAGCCATGAAGAACTTCAAGTAATATACTTACCAAGTGGATACCATAAAATAAAAGTGTTTAAAATCATTGCAAACATTAAAGGAACTGAGACATCTGGGAAGACAAGAAGACATTATTAAAGATACAAGATTGGTTTGAATTAAAGCATATTATTTCACCTATGAAAAACACAGCCATTGATGTTGAAAACTAAATGGTCAGAAGTTAAATGGCAAGTTTGACAGGGCAGAAGAGAGAACTGCTGAGCCAGAAGCTAGGTCAGAGGAAATTACCCAGAATTAGCAGAGAGAGATGAAGAGTTAGTATGAAAGAGACCAAGAGATCTAGAGGAAAGATAAAAGCTCCAACTTATGTCTAACAGGCATTCTAGGAGGATAAATTAGAGAAAATAAAGGAAGAAACAATATTTGAAAAGGAAATAGTTGAGAATTTTTCAGTAATAATAAGAGTCATACACCTTCAGTTTTAGGAATTGTCATTCTCATGCAGGATACATGAATAGTATTTCCAAGATTTCAATTCAATTTCTTGGATGTGAAACACATGGTTTTCTCCCCTTTCTCTTGTATTCTATTATGATTAAAAGGAAAAAAATGCTAAGACCGGCTACTCATCTATCCAACCTAAAGTGAAGCACTGAGTATGCTCATAGGCTGAAGGCAACCGAGTCTCAGATGAAGCCTTAAGGTAGGGGATTAAAAACGTGTCGAGGGGATGTGCGCTCTGACATTGAAGGACAGAGGGAGAAGCTGGGTGGTCACGTGGGTGAGAAGGGCAGGACGTTGTTCAAGCTGCAGGATGAAACATCCGGGAAGAGTCTGTGTACAAGAGTTTAGGATGACTGGTGAGATTAAACAGGGCTGAAATAATGTTCAGTCTCCTGGTTGACAGGTGTTGGGCAAATGTATGTTATTAAAATTTCTGGTGTTTGCCTTGGTTTTTAGCATTGTTCTAGAATTACTAGACAAATAATTAGACAAGAAAAATAACTGTATGCCCTGGCTGGTGTAACTCAGTGGATTGAGCGTGGGCCTGTGAACCAAAGGATCGCAGTTTGATTCCCAGTCAGGGCACATGCCTGGGTTGCAGGCCAGTTCCCAGCAGGGGATGCACGAGAAGCAACCATACATTGATATTTCTCTCCCTCTCCACTTACCCTCTGAAGATAAATAAATAAAATCTTAAAAAAGAAAAATAACTGTAAATACTAGATAAAAGGAAAAATTATATGTAGTTGCACATTATAACTAGACAAACTGATGCTAGAGTTTAAATAAAAACAATAAGCTGTGAAGAACGTCCAGAAACAATGAATGAGAGGTAAAGGAAGGGAGAGGAGGACTTCAGGGAAACCCAGTTATTTAAAAAAATTACTTTTCACAAAAAGGTGGAACTGGAGAGCATTATGCTAAATGAAATAAGCCAGGTGGCAAAAGAGAAGTACCATATGATCTCACCTATAAGAGGAACCTAATGAACAAAACAGATGAGCAAAACGGAGCCAGAGGCATGGAAATAAGGAACAAACTGACAGCGACCAGAGAAGGGTCTAGTCAAGGAACAGACACAAATGCCCCATGGACAAGGGCATGGACAACAGGGTGGGGACTGACTGTGGGGGTGCGTGAGGGGGAGCAGGAGAGAGCAACGGGGGTGGGGCGGGGAATTGGGACGACTGTAATAGAAAACAAAAAAAATTAAAATAATTTAAACACTTTGTAACAGGCACACACATAGACAAATGCATCCAACAGCAGAGTCCAAAGGTAGACCCATAGAGAAGGGAACATACGGTATTCTCTGGAGGGGTCCCAAACTGCAATCCTGTGTCATTATTTACACTTAAGTAAATTCCAGAGTAGTTGCAAATTAAAATGTGAAAGATGATACTATAAAAACAATGGAGAAAAATTAGGAAAAACAATTTTGAAGAGGAAAATTCAGTTCCAACCAAACACTAAATCTAAAACCATAAAAGATTCGATAAATATGGATACACACAAATAAAACATCACATGGAAAAATACTGCAAGCAAACTTTAAAATATTGGTAAATTAGGAAATAATTTCTGTCAGCAGAGCAATAATCTTAATATGTAAAGTACTATTAAAAGTCAACAGCCCAGGCTGGTGTACTCAGTGGATTGAGCTACACAGGTGCCCACTTGGGGACCTGTGTGAGAGGCAACTGATAGGTATTTAAGAAAAAAAAAATCAACAACACAGTGGAAAGCTGAAGGATATAAATAGGCAATTCAGAGAAAAAATAGATTTCAAACATTTGAAAAGATTCCTAACTTCATTCATAATTAACTGCAAGTTAAAATAATAATAGAAAAAAATTAACCTTAGATTGGCAAAATCACCTTTCATAAAGAGGTGATGAACAGATAATTTATTGGTAAAAACTTTCAGGAGGTGTTTAGCATTATTTACCACATTTAAAAACTGCACATATCCTCTGACCCAGCAGTTCTATATAAACCTTTATTTTTGAAAAAATTTATCAGTATAGATGGTTATTATGTCAAAAGATAGGAAATATGTTTACCCATAGGCAACCAATTAAAATACCTTCATACAATTGCATATATATATAACTATGAAAAAGAATGTTATGTGTTCATTGATTATTAATAACGTGTGTGTTCAATGCTAAATTATGGGCCAGGAACTATTCTAGGCACCGAGGATATAGCTGTAAACAAAACCATAAGAATCTCTGCCCTTATGGTGCTCCCATTGCAATGAGGAGAGGTAGCTAACAGCAGAAAAGCATGACTATGATGCTTATTAGTGTTATAAAGAATAGAACAGATAATGGGATTATATCCTAAGAGCCCTGAAACACCAATCCAAAAGAACCTATGCACTCCAATGTTCATAGCAGCACAAATTACAATAGCCAAGTGCTGAAAGCAACCTAAGTGCCCGCCAGTAAAATGAGTGGATCAAAAAACTATGGTACATTTACACAATGGAATACTATGCAGCAGAGAGAAAGAAGGAGCTCCTACCCTTTGCAACTGGAGATGGAACTGGAGAACATTATGCTAAGTGAAATAAGACAAGCAGTCAGGGACAAATACCATATGATCTCACCTTTAACTGGAACATAATCAACAAAAGAAAAAAGCAAACAAAATATAACCAGAGACATTGAAATTAAGAACAATCTAACAATAATCGGAGGGGACAATGGGGGAAAGGGTTTTCGGGAACTACTATAAAGGACACATGGGCAAAACCAAGGGGGAGGGAGGAAGCAAGGGAGGGAGGTGGGTTTGGCTGGGATGGGGGGAAATACAGACAACTGTAATTGAACAATAATAAAATAATTTAAAAAAAGAATAGAGTGGAGACACGCACATACAATATATAGTATATATGCTATGCACAGACCATCTCTGGCAGTTAATAAAAGGAACTGATTG